GCTAATTTAGCACTTTGTACTGTGAGTTATGTGTGAAACCGTATTAATGTAGAACAGACCTTGACACAGGGAATAATTGGGTTTTATGCATTAATTGTACTAAAATAAATGCATACATTGTTCTTTACTTAGTACACTTCAAGGTGTTAAAATATTATTATTATTGTTATTATTATTATTATTATTATTACACAAAACGTGCCAGACAGATATCACTTAAATAAGTGTCTTGTGAAATCACACCTGTAGTTGTGACAGTCCTCAGCTCTGCAATCAGCAACAATGAGTATGGAGAACAGACTGCACTTCAGTGCCATGACTTTTATTTAACACATTGTTGTAATTTGTTATTGTAACGGAGCCGACGAGATGAGAGACATGTGGATCCAGCTGCAAAGCTTTTATTTAAAAGGCGTGGTCATAAAACAGGCAAGGTTCAGACAATGGCAAACAGGTATATGAGGGCAAGACGAAGAGTAATTCAAAACGGGCGTGAGTCAGTCGACAGCAAACGTTATCCAGAGGGCTTGACAAGAGGGGCAATCCAATAACACAAGCAATAGTCCAGGCAGGAGCAAACAGAGTCCGAACGGCGAGATCAAAATAATCCATGAGGGCGGTGGAGCGGAGGCGGAACAGGGGGAGAGACGGAGAGCCAGGTCCACGTGGAAGTGGAGGGACCGGAGACTGGGGCAGAGCAGGGTACCCAGGCTGAACCGGCGAAGCAGGAAACCAGGACAGATCCGACAGTATGGGTGGAACTGAGGACCACCACGGCAGAGCAGAAGACCACCAGAGCCAGACAGGAGAAAACCACGGCAGAGCAGAGGACCACTAGAGCCAGACAGCAGACCACCACGGTGGAGCAGGCGGAGCAGAGGACCACCACGGCAGAGCAGACGGAACATAAGACCACCACGGTGGAGCAGAAGACCACCAGGGCTAGACAGCAGACCACCACGGCGGAGCAGACGGAACAGAAGACCACCATGGCAGAGCAGAAGGCCACCATGGCTGAGCAGACGGAGCAGAGCGGTGGAGCAGAAAACCACCAGAGCAGACAGCAGACCACCATGGCGGAGCAGAAGACCACCAAAGCCAGACAGTAGACCACCACGGCGGAGCAGACGGAACAGAGACCCCTGGTAGAGACTGGGAACTAGGGAAAACTGAGACACAAGAAACAGACAGAGCATATACGGTCTCAAGGACCGAGGCAGGAAACACACCAAGTTCAACAACATTTTCCCTTGTGACAACTGAATGGGCAGACAGTTCATGAATGGGCTCACTGACTGAAACTGAACAGGCAGAGAATTTAACATTGGAATTCTTGGCAAAGACTGGTTGAGTTGACCGTTCATAACTAGACTCATTGAGTGAAACTGGACAGGCAATCAGTTCAGTGACTGAAACTGGACTGACAGAAAATTCAGACATATTACGCACTGGTGCATTAGTAGAAACTGGGCCAATGGATGGTTCAAAATCAGACATATTCGGCAGAGGGTTCACAGATGGCCTCCATAGACGTGACAGGAAGGGCAGAGAGTTCACAGACGGCCTCCATAGCCGTGACAGGACGGGCAGAGGGTTCACAGATGGCCTCCATAGACGTGACAGGAAGGGCAGAGAGTTCACAGACGGCCTCCATAGCCGTGACAGGACAGGCAGAGAGTTCACAAACGGCCTCTATAGCCGTGACAGGACAGGCAGAGAGTTCTCAGACGGCCTCCTTGGCCAGAACAGAACAGGAAGAGAGTTCACAAGTGGATACTACTGACACCTCTGGAGGTCCTGCAGCGGATGCCGCCACCTCTGGAGGTTCTACAGCAATATCATCAGGAGCTACAAACACAGGGAGTTCAGAGAAGTCCCTTCAACCGTGACATGACAGGCTGGGAGTGCATTGCTGGGTGCCACCACTGCGCAAGGAGCTGAAGCAAGCGCCGCTGCCTCGGGAGAAACTGCAGCAGGCGCCATCGCCTTCTGGAGTTTCAGTGGTGGTGTATGCAGCCCAAACAAACCATAAAGCAACCCCCATTACGGGAAGTGCTGCAGACAGGGGAATCAGTTCAGGAACAGGAGGGCTAGAGTGAGTGGGTTTGGGGATACCAGCTGTGCGTGCAGACATCAGCGGTGCATCCCTCACACTGGATCCCAGACTGGGATACCGAAGGGCTGACCCTGATAATCTGGGTGTAACAGACAGAACGTGACAGGACTCTGGATGATCAGCTGTGATGCGACGTGACTCTGGATGAACAGCTGAGACGTGACATGACTCTGGACGAACAGCTGAGCCGCGACGGGACTC